CCCCAAAACCCCAAAACCCCAAAACCCCAAAACCCCGCTATTGTAAATTTTAATTGATAATAGTTATATAAATAAATATCAGATATGGAACCCCTACTCGATCCATGCGATGACAGGTAAAATATCATTTCGAGAGCTTTCAAACTCCTTAAGGATTCTAGAAGACTAACAGTCTGTGTTTATAGAGCATGAAAAGACTTTGAACCACCTCCAGCATTGCCCCTATCCACTGAATTACTATTCCCAACTTCAGGTACCATAATTATTTCCTTTCTATCTATGGAGCCTAGTCAAGGGAATGATGCCTATTAGCCAGAGCTGGCTCTACCAGCTCTGTATGGCACCATTGCCACATTTAGTATTGCTATTAGTCTTTTGAAATAAATGAAATAATGAAGTTTAAATTCATGTTTTTCTTCCGTTTTGAATTTGATTCACAACGCCAATTTCCTTTAACAATAAGTTTTATTTAACTATATTATTAGCTGGAAAATTGGTTTGGGATTCAAGATTTAGTTAAAGTTTATAAGAATTTCTAAATTAGAAGGAATTATAGCTTATTGTTTCAATAGGATCCAAAGTTCCTGACTGGAGATTGGTCAACCAGCATGTGACTAAAGAAGGCAGGATAAATAAAGAAGACTTTGTGACTATTATAACAGAAGTTACTGATCTTATGAGTAAGCATTGCTGATAATCTGTTAGAAAATGAACCAAATCTTCTTGAAATGGAAGAACCTGTCGTTATCGTTGGAGACATCCATGGACAGTACTATGATTTATGCCATCTTATTGAAAAGGCGGGTGATCCTGAAACCACTAAGTAAGTTATTTTGAGGATAATCTTGCATAGCTACCTATTTATGGGAGATTATGTAGACAGGGGCATCTTCTCAGTGGAATGAATCATCCTGCTCTACTGACTGAAGCTCAACTACCCAGAGACTTTTGTACTTTTGAGAGGGAATCACGAATGAAGAAACATGACTGATCATTTTACATTTAGGGAAGAAACTATTAGGAAATTTGACCAGGAAGTATATGACCTCATCATGGAATCCTTCGATGCTCTCCCTCTTTCTTGATTGGCTGGCAAGAAGTATTTTGCTATGCATGGAGGAATCTCCCCAGAATTGAAGAAAATAGAGCAGATTAATAAGCTAGACAGATTTAAAGAACCTCCTCTTGATGGACTAATGTGAGACCTGTTGTGGGCTGATCCAGCAGACGATGATAATGCCACAAAGACAGAGTATATTGATAATGAAGAAAGAGAATGCTCCTTTGTTTTCGGCAAAAAGCCATGCAAGAAGTTACTTGATAAGAACAATTTGATGACAATAGTGAGAGCTCACCAGGTTCAAATAGAAGGGTAAGATTTAGGGTTTACAATCAATAGGTATAAAATGCATCGATGGGATGGAGCTTCCACTTTCCCCTATGTTATCACAATATTCTCTGCTCCGAATTACTGAGACTATTATTCGAACAAGGCATCAGTGTTGATTTTAGAGAGTGGGAATGTATCAATAAAGCAGTATGACCAAAGCGATCACCCATATTACTTGCCTGACCAAGTGGATATCTTCACATGGTCAATGCCCTTCCTGGCAGAGAAGGTTATCTCAATGCTGTCCTACATCGTAAACAAGCTCGGAGAAGAGGATGTAGATGATGCAGATAGCAAAGCTGCTCTGGCTAATCTAGCAAAAGATGTAAAGAAAGGAAGAGCTAATAAGCTAAAATCAAAAGTCAAGGTATTCGCTAGGATGCAGAAAATGTTCACAACTCTCAAAGATGAAAGCGAGCTAATTCTCAAATTGAAAGGAATGGCTCCAGATGGAAAAATACCAAGAGGTCTTTTGCTTGAGGGTAGACCAGCTATTAAAGATGCTCTGAAGGAATTCAATAGAGCAAAAGAGGTTGATAAGATTAATGAGAGAAGGCCTAAAGGGAAGTAGATCTGTAATGGAAATTATTCCAAGATTTTTGCATTTACTGATTCAATAGTAAGAAAGCTAATAGGGGTTTTGGGGTTTTGGGGTTTTGGGGTTTTGGGG